AAAATGGGGGGACATCTGTAATACATTCAAGAATAATGATAAGTCAAAACAAAACAAAACAAAAAATACCATAAGGCACCCTGGCTGGTTTTGCTCAGAGGCTAGAGCATCAGCCCATGGACTGAAGGGTCTCGGGTTTGACTTCTGGTCAAGAGCATGTACCTGGGTTGTAGGTTTGATCTCCAGCTCCCATTGGGTTTGGGCAGGAGGCAACCAATTGATGTGTCTCTCTCACATTGATCTTTCTCTCTCTTTCTCTCCCTCCCTCCCTTCCACTCTATCTAAAAAATCAATGGAAAAATTTCCTCAGGTGAGGATTAACAAGAACAAAATACCATAAGGCAATATTCCACAAAAGGATCCCCTTTTGTCCTGAAGAGTTCACTTATTGTCCAGTGGACTTAGCCCTTGAATCTCGAAAAGTGATTTTTTTTAATCCTATCTAATAATGAAAACAAAATGGAAAGTTTATAAATACGCTGTTTAAGAAAGTAAGATTTTGGCCCAGCCAGTGTGGCTCAGTGGTTGAGCATGGACCCATGCACCAAGAGGTCGCTGGTTCGATTCCCAGTCAGGGCACATGCCCAGGTTGTGGGCCCAATCCCCCGTGGGGTCGTGCAGGAGGCGGCCAATTGATGTTGTCTCTCATCAATGTTTCTCTTTCTCTCTCCCTTCTTCTCTCTCTAAAATCAATAAAGAAAAAATATCTTTGAAAAGAAAGTAAGATTTGGGGCTGGATTTGAACAATTAAATATGCTTAACCCATTGGCGGGTGGGTCATGGAGACACCCCAGTTTTTTAAAATTACAATTTCTTGAGGCATATTAGGAAAGACACGTTTTCTTCAATGGGAAGAAAAAGTAGATGGAAAGTCATAATCTTTGTATCCAAGGCTGCTGAGTAGGCTTCAGCAAATCTTACAAAGATGAATTCCAGAGGCTTACACTTTATGTGACCCTTCTGATGAGCCTGGGCATCTTACAAAAGAAAACCTACCACAGGTGGGCTTGGTCAGGTACAACAGTGGTGCGTTACTGTCAGCAGAGGCAAGATTAGTAGAATACAGCTAACATTGAGTTTTCTTCTGTTCGTGTCTAATTCTGATGACCCAGACACTTGGCTTCTGTGTGGATAAACCCAAAGCCAAACCTGTAATTGTGGTGGCCCCCAAAACAAGAGCACTTTATCAACTGAACAGAATCATGAATAGTCTATCTTAATTCATTATTATATTTGTTTTTTTGTTTGTTTGTTTGTTTGTTTGTTTGTTTGTTTTTACTTTACTCTCTTTTGAAAGTACCGAATTACAATATACAATATTAGTGTGGTTTCTGCTATTTTTATTTTAGGAGAATTTTTGTTTTCAAATGGGAATATTTTGATACCAGAAGAGAATAAGAAACTTCAGAAATTTGATGTTTAAGTGATAGTTTACAATTAGTAGGTGAATTATAACACACAGGAGTGAAAGGAATTCAGAAATAGTAACGGAACCACAAAATTAATATTGGAAAATCACAGAAAAGAAAAATAGTACCAGAAAACCGGAATAGGTTAGAGTCATCCACATCTTCAGAATAGGAAAAGAGGGAAAACTACCACCTCTGAGCCCAATGTTAGCCCTCACCAAATTTCTAGAACAAATCAATTTAACATATCTTGGGTATATGCCTTTGTGTACTTTGTAAAAGTTGGAAACTAAAGCAGTAATTTCTAGGAGCCAGCATGAATTCGCTAAGTAATCTGAAATGTTTTCTTGTAAATAAGGATGCCACATTCAAGTTCATTCCACTGATTGTTTAAGTAGCACTGTTGTTACATAGCTTCATGCTCCATAAGAAAAGACTAGATTACGTTTAAATGACATTGTAAAGCAATCATCTTTTTCGTTTTACATAAAACTTTTCTGAGCTTTGGTATCTTTATCTACAAAGGTGAATAATAATAATATCTGATCTACCTCCTCATATAAAGTATGACAAAGTTCTTTTAAGTGTTAGTGACATGCAATAAAAAAATCTTACAATAAACAAGAAGGAAAAAGCAGGGTGGAGGAAGGATGAGAGAGAAAAGAATAAGGGTAAGCAGGAAATGAACATGTAACATAAAAACACATTTTAGGGCAGGAAAAAGAAACCTTAGTGGAAGAACCCTATTCTTTTTTTCTTAATCCTCACCTAAGGATATTTTTCTGTTTATCTTCAGATAGAGTGGGAGGGAGGGGGAGAGAGGGAGAGAGGAAGAAACATTGATGTGAGAGAGACACATCAACTGGCTACCTCCTGCATGCCCCTGACCAGGGCTGGGCCAAACCGCAACCAAGGCACATGTCCTTGACCGAAATTGAATCCGAGACTCTTTGGTCCACAGGCTGACACCCTAACCACTGAGCCAAACAAGCCAGCGCCCCCCCACACACACACTTTTTTTTTAATAAGTGTAATGAGATCCAGGGAAATAGTGTGACTTGTGTTAAGTCTCACAGCAAATTCATGGTGAGAAGAAAGAAAACAAAAAAGGGAAAGGAAAAAAAACAAAAACACTAAACAACTAATAGTTAGAAGTCAAAAGAGTTCTCCTAAGCACTGACCTGGGAGGGCTGGTGGAATTCACCTGGCCCTCTCGCTTAGCTCTGAAAATTCCTCTCCACCTTTGGAATGCGGCGCAGGCCACCCATGTTGGACCATTGCTCCTTGCACAGTAATTTTCCCAAGGGTGCCAATCAGAAAGCAGGGACAAGTACCCCCTTTTGCTCTCAATGTTCACCCCGTTTTCACCCACACATACTTCTCTCTCTTCAGGCCAATGTCCCAAGAGGAGGAATCAGGCCCACACCTGATTCCTTTGCCCTTGTTCCTCCGTTTTACAAAATGAAGCTACAAAAAAAAAATAAGCAACCCTTTAGATTGCTTTACTTTAGGGATCCAAATTACTGTAAAGATTCAAAGAAACATACATTCTCAAACACATTTCAGTAGGTTGTTACAGCATTAAGGCATCTAATTAGTTGACCTATTTGAAGAGGAACATATCTACGTAATGATTTTGTTTCTTGTTAATGGCAATTAAGTCAGTAAAACTAATAATAGTGGCACAATATGGGTCTTATATAGAGAGCATGATCTTTTTCATAGGATATTAAAAGGTTTGCTTATGAAGATGTGTCTTAGTGTAGAAATGAAGATAATGAAAGTGATATCCCTGTGAAATAACTTTAGAAACAGAGAGAAAAAAGCAACAACCTCTCAGCTAATTTGTGTGTAGGTCTCTAGGGTCCGAACACCATTGCCCAGAGATATCTTAGCTCAGATTGTCACAGGCAAGATTTGTGTGCAGTTCTCACTATTTGTGTATTCATCTGAAAGTCTTTTTTTCCTGTAGTTTAAAATTACTAAAACCATCCCACATAGCGAAGAAATAAGAGGGGAAGGAGGCAATGATTTCCTTAAATTGTTGTTTTTGTCAATGAGATAGATCTTCTACCAGCCCAGCAAGTAGCCAATCACACATCATAAATTCCTTTGCTTCAAGACAAACTCCCCTGATGACACAGGTCAGTGGTTCCCCAAATTAGTTCTGAACACAGACTTGCCTAGAGAAGGAAAACAATTCGTGTGAAGTGAGTTATGTTTCAGGAAATGTAACAGACCGGTATTTACCCTAACAGTAATTTAAACTAATAAAATAAATAAATACCTTTTACACTCCCTTTCGTTTTCAAAGTCAAGGTCTCAGAAACCGTCAAGCGGCTGATGCGGTAGAGCAGGAAGAGGGGAGCCCGGCTCACGGCTGTGTTCTAGAACTCAAACATGTGCTGTCGAAATCATGACTGTGAGCAGGATCCTTAGGGACATTTTGGCTGTCCCTAAAGAGTTCCTAGTCAGTTTAGTCTCATCAGTCAACCAAGTCCAAGTCTTTCTTAATTCAATAAGCCACCCTTTTATGTTAACGGTCATACACAATTCATTACTTCAGTGTTATGTAGAGTACTTGGGATACCCAATCAAATGCTTGTGGGTTATCTATAATGTAACCAGGATTACAAAACGTTACTGTTCTTTGACCCCAGGGGGTGGTTGGGTTGGATTTTTCTTTCTTCCACATCAATCCTCTCTCCTCACCACCTGCACCCCCGCCGGCTGCACCAGCATCTCCACTAGAACTGCAGTGGGTTCCGTGTTTCCACTCTTCCCTCTCGTCTCCCCTCTCAAAAGCTCCCATCTTTGTAAAGTATACGATTGTCTAACCAGTCAGAGGCACACCTCAAACTAATGCAGAATAATATTGAATGTAAAGTATAATTGAAAATTAACAGACATTTTTAAAAATTCAAAATAAACAAGAAAAAACAAAAGTCCCACCAGAAGGACCCTTTTAAAACACAGATCTGCTGACATCAACCCCCTTCTCCAAGTCCTTTGTGTGGCCTGCAAAGCCCTGCGTGGAATGGCCCCAGACACCCCCCAGGCGCACCCCTGTCATTGCCCCACCGGGCCATCCTCTCCTGCCATGCTGGCCTCCTGGCCGTCTCCGGGCCACACCGGGCACCTGCCCGCCGGGGCGTTCATGATGCTGTTCTCACGACGATGCCTGCTCGGCGCGGACCTCTGCTGACACCCTCACGGCCCGGCCCTCTCCCACCGTCTGCTCTGTGCTAACAAGCCCACCGCCCCAACCACCGCCCCTGCTCTCCAGCCCCTCGCCTCGCTTTTATATTAAAAAAACGGTTCGAGGACAGTTAGCACAGTGTGTGAGCTATCGGGTGGTTTCCGTAAAATGGGGCATTTACTGTGTTTCTTCTTAAGCACTTCTCTTGCCGGCTTTTTGAAAACTAGAAATGTACAGACACGTTTCGCAAAGGATAACAAAACAAGGTTTTTTAACAGCTGTTTTCGGCATTTGTGGTTTGAACATAATCGAATTGTATTTTTTTAACAACTGAATGAATTCCACACAAGAGAACGGTGCTCACTCTCCCTCCTCTCCCTTCAAACCCGCAGACGTCTCGCCGGGAACGCTTTGACCTACATTCCCAAGGGAGCGTTTGCTGGCCTCTGCAGCCTGAAGGTTCTGTAAGTAAACAGCGCGTTATTTGTTACAGTTCCGACTTTAGCGGCAAGTACATGCTAATTAAGTTGTAAAGACTGAGTTCCTTGAATAAGCTATTTGGAGCCAGGGGGTAATTCCTCTAAACCTAAGTCTACCTTCACTGATACCAAATAGCCATATTATACCTGGCTGGGTGCGTGTGTGAAAAAATGCCTCTCTTTTTCTAACTCTGATATCTAAAATTGTTTGCCCCTAAATAACCAGCTTATCAACTCAAACTTTTAAGAGGATTTCCAGTTCCTCTTGTGTTATGAAGTTGGGGAGAAGTTCTTGAATCATTTTGATCACCGAGTGAATAAATCACCACAATACTAACATAATAAGATCACATCTTCAAACCTTTTGCAAAGTTTGTGTCCTTATGATTAAGGATCAGCTAAAAAAAAACAAAAAAAAAACCAAGTTTATGTTACAATTATGAATTAGTGTGAAAAAAAACCTATTGTTTGTAGATATACTGAGTAATTGTTTGAGAAATGTTAATTCATTGAGACTTGTAAAAGTGGGTCTTTTTTTTTTTTTATCTTCACCAGAGGATATTTTTTCATTGATTTTTAGACAGAGTGGGAGGGAAGGAGTGAGGGAGGACGGGAGAGAGAGAAGCATTAATGTGTCTCAATTGGTTGCCTCCCGCACTAGGGCCATGGATTGAACCTACAACCCAAGTATGTGCCCTTGATTGGGAATCAAGCCTGAGACTCTTCGGTCCAAAGGCCGATGCTCTAACTGCTGAGCCAAACCAACCAGGGCAAAAGTGTGTTTTCTTATTATTCTATATCCACCTTCCCAATTTGTTTATCAGAAAACTCATTATTATTGACTACCTCCTTCTTCTAGTACCCATTGCTTAATTTTTTTTCAGTTTATTCTGCGCAGGAAAAAAAGAGGCACTTAGGTAGAGAAAATAGGTAATTCAATTTGAAACTCATAACAGGAAAATTTTATCTCAGAGAAAATACCCTGATTTTATTTCTTTTCTCTGAGATAAAAGTTATAAACTCTAAAAAGGTATTTGATATATTTCTGCTTAACGGAAATTACATTTTATTCACCTTGGGGATACATAGGCTATTTAAAAAGCCATTTTATTTAAATTTAATATTTGTTACATATTAAACTTGTTAAAGGTCAAATTAAACAGTAGAATCATTTTGGTCTGCTTAGGTGATTGGGTTTGGGCCCCTCAGCCTTGAATTATTTTTATTAGGCAGAAATATTTTTAAATTGTCATATTGCCAAATCCTAATGTTAATTCATTATGTGATAGAATTCTGAGGTATAACACCAACTTCACTACACCTGTGTCTCCATGAACACAGCAAAATATTTGGAACCATTCTAAATGTATCACATTAATCAAGTTTGATAAGACAGATAAGGTGATGTATTTCCTTTGTTGACCTATGTACCACTAAGTATTTTGGTACTTATTAAATTGATTATACTGGAACTGGTCATTTTAATTCACTTAACAAAATGTAAATTAGATATACTGAGCTAGAGTGTGTGTGTATCTATATCTGCGTATAAAATGTATCTTCAGCCAACATAATTATATGTATATTGTGAAAATATAATGTGAATACATATAAATTATATAATATAAATATCTATGAATTAGATATACACTAGATATGATCATTAGATAGAATTATTATTTTACATTTTTGAATTTTCATGTTTGAATTACTCAAGTTTAGTATGAATTTTTTATAATAGTTTTTAATTTTCTAATTATATATTTCTAATTTTATCATACTACACCAGACCTCCATGAAATTGGAGATGTTGTCTGTCTTGTCCACTGGTCTATCCCCAGCTCCTAGAACATGCCTGAATCATAGTAGACACTCAAGAAATATTTGTTGAATAAATTATCCTGACTGATGATACAGAGAGAAAAAGGGGTTTCTAAACTTGCCAACTTTCTTCATTGTGTATGATGTTGACTTAATGCTATATGTTTATTAATGGCTTATCTGTCTCATTCTAAACAAAAAATGTGGGTGTTTACCCATCGGCATGTTTTATTTACCCAGAGTACTTCTGCACACTTTGCTGCTTCCTATGCCATATTTTGCCTGAACACTTCAGAGAGCTTTGGATTAATCTGAATTAAAAACTGAAAATCATAGGTTATCTCTCAAGCTTATCATTTTTATATGTACCCTTTCCACCAGAAAACAAGCAATATAGTGTTCAGTTAAATACCCTCATTCACCCTCTTCTAACTAACCGCTGTCTCCTGTCTTCTACACAGTCAGGGGTTCAGCAAAGTCTGGTAAGTGTGACACTCAAAGTGACATTGAACACATTACTACTGCAAACATAATGATCAATAATGTGCTCATGCCCTAAAGAGATAATCTAGTGGCAGATTGTAGGATCCAGATAGTGGGACCAAGATAGACAACTAGCTCACCTCTGATTCTTCTAGAAAGTGTGTCGAGAACTGAGTAGAGAACACTGTGGAACTACAGAGGTTGGGAAGAATATAGTCCAGTCTGATGGTTAAGGTTCAGCTTCCTAGGAGAGATGTTTTCCCAAAGAGATGCCCTCGGAGTGAATCCTGAAGCGCAACTAGGAATTAGCCAGACAAATGTGGTGGCTGTCTGAGGGGACAATATGCACAGAGACCCAGTGGCTGGAAGCACCTGGCATGCACAGGCAGCTCCCAGCAGGTTGGGGCTTGAGCATTTAGGAGGTGGAGAGTATCTGGAAAAGAGCCTGGAGAAATAGAAAGAGTCCTGGTCTCCGGAATCCCAGATATCCTGTCAAAAAAGTATGGGCATTAGTATGTTCTAGGCACAGTGAGGAGGAAGGGATGCCAGCAAGAGAACGTTATGCTCAGACTTTTCAGTTTCGCTAGATCACTGTCCAGGTGAGGAGGATTCAAGAGGAGCAAGACCTCTCCGGGAAGTATGTGCCCTCCTCCCTTCACTTTGCTGACGGAAAGATTAATGTCTAAGGAGCAAATTCAGTTGTCCGATATTTTGGAAGTATTTCAGTGTTAGAGCAATGGTCCTCAACCATGGTGGTACTTCCTGCATAGAGGTTTGGTCATGTGTGAGGGTGTCTTGGTTTCCAGAGGGTAGACATGTGGTACGCTGTCCCGTGCCGCGTAGCCCAGCATAAAGCCTTCGATCACCACATTGGACGTGACTTCCGACTGGCTCTCTGCACCAGATGTACGTCAGTAACTCTTCGTGCCTAACAATACTGAAAGGTTTTCCAAGAAGTTCTGCATAAGACTAATAATTCTCTACAGGAAAAGTTAAATAGAATAAATATATTCTCTCAAAATTATTAAGTAATTGATTCAGCTTTTGCATCCTGTCCATTCTAGGTATCATATGATTTCTAACCACAGATGTAGTGGACAATGCTGTTACCACAATAGAACAAATTCCCCAAATACCAGAAAACAGTTCAAGATGTAGAACCACAGAGATGTAAAACTTCTTTAAAATAATTATCATTAAATTAGCAGAGAAACATGAAACACAGAGCTCTCACTGAATTTTATTAACAAGGGCTGCTTTATAAATGTTCTGTTTTATGGCCTTTAAAATTTTTTGGAGCAAAATCGATATTGTGACAATGATATGATTTACTCATTTAGGGGTGGCCTGTTGCTTTTTTTTAATTTTACTCTTCCAGTATCCACCTGCTATGAGGGCAGTTTCGTGCCTCTTTCTTTTTCCATCCAGCTTTGATTCCCCATTGCCTCTTGTGGGATATATTCTCCAGGGCCCCTTGAAGTGTTCCCTTCAGCATATGATGGAGTTTTGAGATAGAATCAATGTTTCCTGTGATATTTCAGCCCTATCTTGTCCTGAAAGATAGAGAATTATTTCGACATGACTCATTGATAAGGAACACTTATTTGTGAGAATACCCATGTTCATTTGTAAGAATGTCACAATTCCTCATTTCGCCACTACAACATCTATAATTTGTCTTGCTATGTTATATTTACTTTATTAAGGGTTATTTCCTTCTTGTCCTTACAATATAGGTGTTGTCTGTGATACATCTTAACTCTAGTTCTCATTCTAGTGTCCGTCTAGACCTCCACTCTTATTTCCCTGTTCTTGAACTCTTAAAATTCAGCTTCTGACCATGTTATGTCTCTCACAGCCAACCTTATTCATGAAAAGTAGAGACAAACGTCTGACTCATTCAGAAAAATGTGTCCTTGGGTAGTCACTTCTGAGCATCCTGTATAAAGTTATATCATTTTTTTATAAATTCTTCTTTTACTTCTTCTTTATGATACAGTTAAAGCAGTACACTTTGTTGAATTTTTTCCATGAAATGATGTATGTAGATAGGTTATATTTTTATGAATTTTATCTTAGTAGATGAAGCGTTACAAAATATTTATTATTAAAGGGAAAATTAGGTTTAATAGTGTTGAGAACCACAGTGCTAGAGGTAAAATGCTGAACAATTCAGGCCTGTCCTTCCCCTCATGGAGACTCTCGAATGTTTTATAAAGTCCAAAAGTCATGGGAAGAAAGAAATAACTGATTGTATTGCAGCATGGTGAGAAAGATAATATAAAAGTAATATTTATCTGGACCAGTATAAGGAGGGTAAGGAGGGCATATGGTAAAAGAAGAGAAATATAATAATAATACAATCCATCGAGATGGACAATGAAGATCGCAACAACCGTCCTTGGCTAGGACTGTTTTATACCAAACGTGTCACTGTGCACTCTGGAACATCACCAACGTTTAAGATTATTATCCCTGTAAACATTGACCTTCATAGCCCTGGCCGGTTTGCTCAGTGCTTAGAGCATCGGCCCATGTACTGAAGGGTTACAGGTTTGATTCCTGATCAAGGGATTGCAGGTTGATCCCCAATCCCCAACCCCAATCAGGGTCGTGCAGGAGGCAGCCAGTCAATGTGTCTCTCACATCAATGTCTTTCTCTCTCTCTTTCTCTCACCCTCCCTTCCACTTTATCTAAAAATCAATGGAAAAATATCCTCGGGTGAGGATTAACAATACATAAATAAGTTATTGGTTCTGTGTTCCAAAAAACTCAGTCCTGTGGAATTCTGAACCAGGCTATCCTCAGCAGAGGTTCATTTTCTTATGTAGGCCATTTGGTCAAGGAATGACTCATTTCCAGCCACCCACTACCAGAACCAAAGCCACATAGAGGTGATGGGTAAAACTAACAGAGAAAGGTCACAACTTGCCAAAATTTTCTCATCCCCATAGAGGCCCAGTACAGAGCCTTGAAGTTACATGATACCTAAACACAAGACGATTAGTCAGAGAGAATACCAAGCCATCAGCTGTTCCGAAGTCCCCGTTCGACATATTATCTCATCTCCCTCTGCTTCACTCACTGTCCATATTCTTATTTAGTCCTGTTGGCATAAAAACACAACCCAAAAATTGTACTGTTAGAATAGCATGGGATGTAGTACGGAAGAGTGAATATTTGAAAGCTCCTCAGGGAAAAAAATTAAGAAACTATGAAGTCATCCATTGTCTCTAGAGAAAGTGTTTCATTTTCTTTTCTTCCCCACATGTGAATGAAAAAAATGAAGTTGTAAGAGGTTAAACCCATATTCAGCTCAGGAACATTGTGCTTATATCCAGTGTACTGAATAAAAGAGCATTTGCAAAAGAAATCAGCAGCCACGCTGGGAATGCTTTCTGTTTTAATTGCCCTCCACGGTGCTGTAAACCCCTTCATTGTTTTGTTTCCACTGGAATATCTTACACAAAAATAGAATTTTCTAATTAACTCACTGGAGACTTATAAGGATGTAATGGAGATAACTTGCTCTTGTTTTGTCATTTGAAAGTAATTAAGCAAAAGTTCTGTACTTAGGGAAAGATCAAAATTTAAATTGTTTGGTGTTTTGTTTGTTTTGTTCTTTTTTAATTATATTTTTGGTGTTTTACTAATAGCTGAAAAGTTAAATTCCGGGAGGTAAGTCAAGGGTAGCTTTAAAAGTTATCATTAATAAAGCTTGTTTAAGTTCCATTTTATGAGGCCAGATATATAAAGCTACTGGGAAAGTTTGCAACGATTCAGTGAAGGAAAACCATCTAAATATCTCCTACCCCTGCCCCTCCCCCTCCAATTTTACAGCATTTTAGAAAGACCACATATTAATATTTTCACGGTTTGGTTAGCAAAGCATAGTAGAACAGTTAATACTTCATACCAGTAATATACTACCTACAGAGTTTAAATATTAATTAAGCTTATTATCTGTATCTTCTCATTAAATTCATCACTCAATCATCAGTGACTTAGAAAACATTTCAATGAAGTTAAAATTATATAATATATTAAAACTGCTTGGAAAGGTATAAATTAACATAGAAATGTAAACTCTTAATGTTCAGGTAAACTATACAACATATAGAATTTCAACTACAATTTTCCTGACTCTTGAACTGGTTAGTGAAGTGTGAGATCTCCTTAAAACTTGACTTTGTTTGTAAGGAATCGATATGTTTTTTGAGACTCTTAATTTATGAAACGTTAGTTGAATTCAACTTTAACACAATGAAATTATTTGAGAAAAACTATTGGAATACAAGTGACACAGTCAGATTCCCTAGAAAACAGAATCCTGGCCATGGCGAGACAAGCATAAATGTTAGACCTCCAAATATTTTTCACATCTTATTTGTATATGAGCTCACATTTGCACACATGAAAGTATAATAAACACCTTTACATTTTAATTGTCCAACACCTTGTTTATCAGATATTATTCTATTCCCATTATACAGAGATAAAAGATCGAGTGTTAGGAAGGTTAAATGATTGGCTTCCCAAGACTTAAAATTTAGGACTTATCTCCAAGCTCAATGTAGCCTCAAGTTCATGTGAAAATACTCTATCAGAAATACTTAGCATAGCACAGGGCGGTTCTCAGTGCGCGGAGCCTTGCCCCGTCCCAAGGACATCACCTGGGAGTGTTGGAAATGCAAATTCTCTGGCCCCACCCAAACCAGCAGCACTGAAAACCTTGGGGGTGGGGCCCAGCAGACGGGGACTTCACAAGCCTTTCAGTGGGTTCTGCGCAACCCGAAAGTTTGAGAACCACTGGCACTGGTTTTGTTGTTGCTGCGGATTTTATTTTCGCATTAAAGTGTCACAGTCAGTACAATCTCACTCCGTTGGTAGTTTTGAGAAGGGATTCATCATACAAAAAGGCCAACTTTTACTGAATGCTCACTGTGCGGCGGTATCGTGCTATGTACTGTCACTCACTGAATGGTCACAATAAGCCCTGGCAGGGGAGTATAATGACAGGTCACTGAGACATGGAGAGATTGGGTGATTTGCCTCAGGCCACAAAGCCAATGGCAGGGAAGAGGGGTTCAGATTCAAGACCCCATGCTCTTAACTAGTCCTTAATCCTACCAGACACCATGCAGCCTGAGAACATGTACATTCAGCAAATATTCCTCCAGAGTCAGACATACTTGGAGCTGAACCCCAGCTAGTCATCTAATGAAAGGAAACTTTGATTGTGGCGATGAGGGAACCAGGCAAATTGTTTCTGAAATCCAAACATAGCTTTGTGACCTAATAAGCAGAAACATTTCTGTAAAATGTCTACTTTCCTAAAATAGTCTTCTGCCTCTGGCTTACATGGGCCATGAAATACTCAGGGGGATGGGAGTGGCCACAAAATTATTGTTAGTTTATGAATAAGGTAGCAAAATGTAAGGAATCTAATGGGAATTGTTTCCATGCTATTTTCCCATTAGCAATGATACTTTTATTGCACTGTTGCCAGGTGTTTCCATTCTGTAGTCCCCATGTTCTGAAAAGAACTATTGAACCTAGGTAAGCAAAAGTGCAAATACTTCACATAAAGAATGTAATTTGTATCAAAATATGACCATGAACAAAAAGGGAGATCTTTAGTAGCCTCCTACCATTATCCTTATTTTCCTTTTGTCTAACCTGTATTGTCACCAGAGTGATCCTTTAAAAACATAAATAAGATCACATAATTTCCCATTTAAACAAGAGTTCCTCATCACACTTGAAATAAAGCTTTATCATGGCCTGCAAGTCCTCCATGAGATGGCCTCAGGTTCTCTCTTCCAATTTCTTGCACTCATTCATTCCTCCTCGGTCACAATTGATCCTTTGCTGCTCCTTTAACAAGTCAAGCAAGCTTCAACCTCAGGACCTTTGCATTTGCTCTTCCCAGTTCCTCAGTAGCTCCTCCCAGATATCACATGGTTTGCTTCCTGACTCCATTCTGGTCTCTACTCAAATATCAGCTCCTAAGAGAGTCCTTTCATGACCACCTTTAAAATAAAAATCTCACTCTTTGTTATCATTTATCCAAAATCCACGTTTTGTTTTTTATTCATAATACTTATCACTTGTCTCATGTTATATATTCATTCATCAATTTTAATTACCTGTCGCTGCCCACTGGTATTTAAGCTCCCCAAGGGCCAAGGGTTGTCTGATGTTCTGCTGTCTCTCTGACCCCTGGAGCAGTGCCTGACACCACTATGGCCAGTTATTGTTCATTATTGTTAACTTTCTTTAATACTTTTCTTTATTTGTTTTAATGTGCAGAATGCTGCAGAATAATCACCTAAGGCAGGTACCCACGGAAGCTCTACAGAATTTGCGAAGCCTCCAATCCCTGTAAGTACAGTCGAAATTGCAAAATGTCCTCAGGATCAATTTGGGAAAGAGTATTGCAGGGTCCAAGTGACCATTTTAGTAAACTCCTAGGTTGGGGGCTATACCTAAATTAAGTTGTGAAAGAGAGTTTCCATTGGGGCAGCAGTTTTTGGCATCCTCATTAAACCATATGTGTGGGAGGACGAGTGTTGGGGTTTGGGGTTTCAGGGCAGAGGCTTAATGATAACACCTGCAGCCAGAAGCCTCTTATATATGCTGGTATCTCAGGACAAACATGTATTTCCAGAATCTTGTCCTACATTCCCCTGTAACTTAAAGTTCCTGCATTCAAATCAGGAATGTTACTTTCTCCTTTTATCTAGAAAAATGGGTGTCACAATCTAGACACCTTGGCATCTTTAATTTATTCTGTTTTTAGATGATCTGAGCTGCCTTGTAATAAAATTTGCTGAGTCAAATAAAAACTTAATCTTTTTTTAATTCTGTATGAACATCAGGAGTTCTCAAATCAATAAGCCAGGATCTAAAAGTATGCTTAAAGCCTTACTGCACAGATCCACCAACTGAGAACTTCCCCATCATCACACACAAATGTACAAACAACCCAACAGACACACACCACCGATCACACAAGATGCACAAACACAAACGTGCACAGCAGAGGCAGTGTGGTGTGTCTTACTTTGAGTCCACCACTTTTCCATCAGGAACTTCCACCCTCCACTGATGTAAAACCTCTGAATAAATACAATTTACCTATCAGATATTTTGGAGCTTGGATTGTAAGCAATTGTTTGCAGTGATTATTTGGCAAGACAATGCCACGAGTATTCTTTTGGTCAGTAAATCTTTACCTCATCAGCAGGTGTAAGTGTTTACAATATGTTGCATCATTTCCAGTGTACACGTGTGTGATACATGCTCTCATCTTGCTCACACTGGAGGTCCTTATCTTGCAAACAAAATACTGGCTTCTGGTCTAGAATGATGAAGGAGATAAAGGCATAACAAAGGCATAAATAAATATTGCAGACTCTAGTTGAAAATCGCTGTAAAAAGTCCACCAGTTAATCATTACACACAGTTTGCTTAATGCCTTTTCTTGAGGTGACATGAGAGGAGGAGGAACGTGAGATTTGGAGATGATACTTTCTTCCTTTGATCTTTTCTTCTTTTAATGAAAGCAAGTCTGGGCTTGAGACCAATGTAAGCTTTTCACTCCAGTCAAACAAAGTGACTTCCTAGGTTTTCACCATCCTATAGATAAACAAGCCCACAAGGGCCCCTTTGTGGCATAGGACAGGTCTGCTACATTTTCAGGGGCTCCTTAGTGACATAACAGTACCGCTCCTCCTTTGTTGCACGAGACTTTTCCTGAAGGGAAGAAGCAGTCAGAGAAGCAAACTGCTCTCCCGTGGGTTGTCTGCGTAGGGGCATGGGGTCCAGTGGCTGAATTGAAAGCCAGATAATAATAGCGGTGGCCAATAGGAACTTGAAACAGCTGTGAGGCAGGGATACGTTTGTAACCAAAAGCCACTATCAGCTGAAAGAAGATCACAGCCAGAACACACACAGAAGTGAACTCTTTGAGAAAGAGAAAACCATGAATCTTTTGTCCACTCCAACTGGGTGGTGCCTCTCTGATAAAGCAGTTCAGATTTAGTTTCTTACCGTCTAGATATTTACTATTCACCAGGTGTCTCTTGCATTTGGTTTCTAGTTCGCAAAAACAATTACCTTTGAAACTTTATAAGTATGTGTTCCCTGTAAAAGAAAAAGCCAAGGGTTAACGTTCTAGTATGACGCTTATCACATCCAAACGGAGGCATCTGGATAGACACTTGGCCCTGGTGCGCGCTGGATTGTATCGGCTGGGTATGTCCTGTTTGTCTGGGGTCCCTTTGCCCTGGGCGCAGACAGACCCAGGGGAGGTGCCGAATGTTGGCGCTGTGTGTTGCCATGCCTCTTTTTCTCACTTACATTTCTTTGTGCTGCTTTGATATAAGAATTAAGATTTCACAAAAAAGCATAGATTTAACCACCAAGCACACAGAAGGAACCCCCTACCCAGTTTTCAGGCTTGGGCAACAGTGAGCCCCTTTAAAATTTTACTATTGTTCCAGATTCAAGGTGTTTCATAGTATTTCTCCTGCTTCCTTTATGCATCAGTTTTGAGTCAAATGCTCATTCCGGACATGCATTCCTTACCCCTTTCATTCATTTCCATGCTCTGCTTAAGCCTTTGCACTACTTCGGTATCGACCTGAGTAACGAAGAAGGGGAGAGCCGTCTCATCCGGGCCGCTGACCCCTGGGCGACCTCCATTCCGTTACACAGCCCTTCTTGGGCCGCAGCAGCCCTTGGGCCTTCACCCTTTATCTGATGGTTCCTCTTTTCTCCTCTCTCTTGAATTCACTCTATTCTTCTGCACGTTATTATTTTCCTTGTATTATACATGCACCCTCTAAGAAGTACTCCACCCGGCACGGGGCAGTGAGTCCATCGCCCGCACACTTGCCTGGCTTTGTCGCTTCTCGGGGAGGGTGCACTTCTCAACCCTATCTGCAAAGAAGCAGCATCCGGGGAGTCCCAAAGCCTCGGCTGCACCCCCAGCACAATTCAATCCAAATGTTAGTGTTTTCTCTCTCGTGTAATTATATAATTTAGAGCTTCTTACATGAAAATTGGGACAGCTAGCGTCCTGTAGAATTCTTTCAGATGACATGTAGATATTCTCCTGAATTCTTTTTAAACATGAAATGATAACAAAACCCACACTTTGCATTTTCAGTGTGAACTAATAATGTACTTGGAATAGAGGATAAAAATCAGGGCTGCCTTGTTTGTGTTTAATGGAAACAGCTCACATCTGCCTATTGATTCTAATAGCAACCTGGGGCAGGTAAAGTTAGGAGGACACCTCCTGTATTCAGCTGTGGTCCAGCAGCATCGGCACCTCCTAAGATATGTGGAACCTTGGGCCTCATCTCTGTCTTACTTAGTTAGAAGTTTCGTTTTAATGAAATTCTCAGGTGACTCGTATAGCCAATGTATTTGAGAAACCTAATTCGCTCCTGTTCGGTAATACTAACAAAGTGGCCCACAAACCAAAAATGAGTGAGAACTACTGAAATAGATCATTGGTATACTTTGCTCCATGCATATAGACTTGGCTTCAATGAGTCAAGTTTAAGAAACTTGACATCTTGAAATTGGTAACACTGCTGTGAGGAAGAAAGAGACCGTACTCATGTTTCAGGGGATGTAATTTTCCATTGATTCCGCATAAACAGAAGATATTTTTGCTTGTTCATAATGCAAACAGGTAGGTACGTGTGTATTCTTTTAATTCTCTCCTGATGCTTACAAATTGCTCGGCTAATGAATAAGAGGGCAAGTCCGTGTGCCAGAGCCAGCCGTCCAGAGCCGGCCCCCGTACAATATGCACATTTGGCTTCTGACATGGTCATGACTGCCCAGACACCAAGTGGATTTTTTGTAATGTAATCAAACATAACTTAATTTCCTTTCTGTTTTTTGGAAGGGAATAGGAAATGTAATCAGAATTCACAGTGAGTTGTATTTCACCGAGAAACGTTTGGCATTGTAGTCATCTCAGGACGAGGGTCAGATTACAGTGATTTGATGGAAACTTAAAACTTAACCCTCCCATACCCTCACACCTTGTATTAATAGTTAAGAAATTGATCTATTAAAAAAAATCTTTGCTTCATTTGCTGGTAGTCATGTCGTTAGTGACGGTCAAGATGATCAAAGGAAATGACACATCCAGTTAACCAGGGTGTTCTTTAACCCATGTTGGTTTTTATTCCAAGTCTGTACTACCAAAGCTAATTGCAGAGCATGCACAATCCCAAAAATACAACAGTTTGGTAAATAGAAAGTGAAAGGAGAATGAGACATATCTTTAGTACTATCTCTATTCTCCAACTAGCTAATATTCACCTTCAGAGTATAAGCTATCTCTTAAAATCTAACAAGAATGTATAATTTCTTCCTGGAACATGATCTGCCCATGCTTCTTATTGTAATACCAGTTTCAAAGCGACAGACCCCACCCCTGGACCCTGGGAAATGTCAGTAACTTCACCCAGACTCTTCCTAGGTAGGCTATTGCTGATAATAGTCTAAAAAGAGAGTAAGCAAGAGGAATGGGTGGGGAGGAAGCAGGGACTCGCAGTGCTGGGCAGAAAGAAAGGCAAGCCTCGAACTAGCAGCGGTTTTCTCCCAGAAGCCTATTGGGTTTCTGACCAGGATAAAGAACGGGAAGGAAGTAAAGAAGACAAAGAGGTGTGAGCAGACAAAAAGAAAGAAGGTGAGGTCACCAAGAGGATAAGATTAAAGGATCAAAGGGGGTTAAAAAAAACAAAAACGGAGAAAGGTAATGGTTTTCGTATTAGTGACATTATTCCTTCCACTAAAATAGTCTCCAGAGACAGAAATTACAGGCCTACTTAATAAATATACCCCATCGTGTGGTTTGGTTTGTTCTATCACAAAAGCGTTGGTATATTTTGTGGGATGAAGGTGGACTTGGAAGTTCTAGGGGTCGAGGGTTTTGTCCATGACACCAAGAGTTCTCTCCATGGAACCAAGTGCAAACCAGCACCCAGTGAATTGTGATGAGGAAGAGAAGTTTTTTCTTGTCCCCCCCGCCTCATTTAAACATTAGAAGAAAATTATTTTCAGACACAAAGCCCTTTCTACACAGTGCTTACAAGAAAAGAGCTCAAATTAGAGCATTGTTCTCAGAATCATATATGGAAAAAAAAAATGTGAATACTTCATGCAAGACCTCATGAATGAAAGATCCCTACACCGGGGAATAAATGGTGTTGGACAAAATAAAATTAAATAAAGAAAACAAAAAGAAAGATCCTTACATCAAGTTATCTGCTAGAACTCTGATAAATCACATACATGACAGTCAGATCAGATAGACAAATACCTAAAAGAGAACATGCGGATCGTGGAATGAG